ACGTTCATGTGTACCTAGGACAAAGCTGTTAAACGCAAAGTATGGTCACACCAAACGTTGATTTGATTAGTTAATAGAAGTTAATTGATGAATAATCTATTTATGACATTATTTTTGAAAGCATCCTCACTTTACAGCATTTTTAAAATTCTTCACAGTACTGTAGCTTTGCAGGTAAGTTTCTTGAAGCATCTTGGAGACATTGCCACAGTTCTTCTGGATTTAGTCTGTCTCAGTGTGTTCTGTTTCTTCATGTAATCACAGACAGGCTGGATGAACTCAGCATTGTTGTGGCAAATGTTTTCACTGGCAAACACCTCTCATCTAGTTTTATTGCTATTTTTTCTGATTTAAATGGGCAGTACTGTCTGCTTTACACACATTCATTTACTCTTCACAGGTTTCCAGGTGATCCCTCCGGCTGTGCACCTCTCCTCCCTGCTTCTGTGCCGTCTCTCCAGCGCTCCTTCTCTCCAAACCTTCCCCCTAACTCTTTAACACCTAACTGCCATTCTGTGGCTCTGAACCCTAACCCCGTACCTTTGTCTCCTCTTCCTGTAACGTCTCTAACCCCAGCGTTAACCCCGACTCCATTACCTCTCACCCCGATCCCAGCTCCACCTCCTCTCAAAGACTGGACGCCATCTAATTCTCCTATTTCTTTTCCTCATGGGATTTTGTCCCCTCCGTCACTGCCCCATGCCCCCCTCTCTCCTCTTTCCCTGGCTCATGCACCCCTCTCTCCTCCATCGTTACCTCATCCTCCCATTTCCCCGATATCGCTCTCTCACGCACCTCTGTCTCCTTCCTCTGTCTCTCATCTGCCGCTTTCTCCATCCTATTACCCCTATCCCTTGTCTCCGAAGCATCGCTCTAAGTATCGTGGTAAAACTTCCGAGTTTCAGTTCTCCGGACCAGAGCTACGCCATTCCGAATCTCATTCGTACTCCCAGCGTCGTCGAGCTCCCAGTCCCCTCATCTCCTGCTCGGACCACCCACAACCCGGACCTCCGCGTCCATCCTCGCTCCCTCTCTTTCCGTCTGCGCCACTCTATGGCTCTCCATACGAAATACAGCCTCCTTTAACCCCCCCGTTGGGAGTCGCCCATCAATATTCAGAGAATTTTTTCCCGCATACTTCTCCTCTTTTTCCGCTCCCATCACCCGTGGCTCCTCCTATCCCCGCGCTGGTCTCCAGCTCTCTCTCTCCTACCAACTTCCTGTCTGGAGGCTCCTCCCCATCTTGTATGGGCTACCCGCCCTTAACTCCTCCTCCACCCAATCAGCCTTTTGTGTCTAAGCCCCTCCCCTACTGGAGCAAATATGATGTTGCTGATTGGCTGACTTACCTGAATCTGACAGAGCACCGGGAGCGCTTTCTCGACAATGAGATTGATGGCTCCCACTTGCCGTCTCTGACAAAAGAGGACTTCCTGGATCTGGGCGTGAGTCGGGTCGGACATCGCATGAACATTGAACGCGCGCTTAAGAGACTTACAGACAGGTGAGATAGAAAGATAAGAAAAGGAGGGAAAATGAAGGGTAGATTTAGATGAACAAGCAAAAGAGCATCAGAAAGCATCAGAAGCCATTTATATTAGTTTTCCTAAAAATGGTCCACCATTTCATAAAAATTTAGCTCTGCATGGATAATTCTGCCTGCAGCTTTACTCAACAATAAATAAATATCCTGCCATTGATGTTTTTGTATGCTTTAGATGATGTTTATTAAAAGAAGTTTAATTAAGTAAGGAAGACTTCATTTGATCACAAAACCCATTTCCTCTCTAGACTGTGACCTTCATCCTGCAGCTTTACTCAACAATAAATAAATATCCTGCCATTGATGTTTTTGTATGCTTTAGATGATGTTTATTAAAAGAAGTTTAGTTAAGTAAGGAAGACTTCATTTGATCACAAAACCCATTTCCTCTCTAGACTGTGACCTTCAGGTCTATTCATTCTTTATTATTAACCTTTTCCACAATTTAGAGTTATAGTAAAGTATGAAAACTAAGAAATAATTCAAATCCAAACCAATCTCATGATGACACTACTAAAGGTTTTCACGTCTTCTTGTTTTTTTTTTGTGCACTAAAAACTAAACTTTAATTTTAGAAATGTAAACATATGCACAAGCATTTAGATCAAAAAGTCATGAGAGGTCAAGTGGACCAAACCTTTGACTAGTAGTGTATTTGAATGATTTTTCATATTCCATTTAAAACCAAACAAATCATCAAATCAATTGAATTATAGCTCATTCCTTTCATTAAACCTGGCATTTATTTGAAATTCCACAACTGACACGTGCCCTATAATTACATACTGCACACTTATGCAACTTTAATTGCTTTTTGAATGCTAAATTCTTCATCATAGTCTGTAGATGATCAGTATATCCAGCACTTTGATTTCTTACCTCATGCTCTGCCTCCTTTCTTTTTCTTTCCCCCCTTCCATGTTTTCTAGGCTCTCCTCTGCTTTCTCTGTCTCCACTGTTTCTTCTGAAGGGCAGAACGAACGCATGAAAGATGAGGCGACTCAGAGCTAGAGGAGAGAATTAGAGAGAACCAGTTAGAGGATAGAAAGAAAGAAAGATTGGGGTTAGACAAAAAGCACTTGGGATGAAAGGGAAAGACTTCCACTGAAGGACAGAGGTGGGGATGATTGCAATGGAGAAGCGCTATCAAATACTCGAACACTCTCGCAGAGTGAAAGCTAAAGTCATCATGAGCAAATGTTTGTCGTCCCTGCTGAAGCCAGATGGCCAAACATCTACAGCCAGTCAGAGACAGAGAGAATGTACTTCTTTCATTGTTTTTTGGGATGACGAGATCAAGAGGTGTAATGAACTTTAGTAATATGATATTATTATATTAATACAAATGAGGCTACTGTGCATATTTTAGCATCACGACGTGCAGGCTTTGATTCATCTGATAATATGATGATTAAAGTCAACATGAATCCAGAACGACCCCGTTTACTTTTTAAATAGTGCGCATTATTCCAATGAAAACAAAAAATGCTTATCAAATGTAATTTTCCTTCATTTTAATTTTTAACCGCCAGTCATATAGACACTTTCCATCATCCAATCGATTTGCAATAGATAAAATCAAGTCCTGCCTTACATTTTTACAATTGAATGTCCTTTTTTACTCAGATATGTTGGATTATGAAAGTAAAATGGGTTGAAGACTGTTTCGTGTTGACTTTAAGCAGTAAAAAAGTCATCGTAATGCCAATAATAACCATATAAGGATCAAGTATGTAAGCGTTTTAATACCGTAAGCAGAATCAGTCTTCCAACACAATGAAAGGACCCATCGTTTATATTGCTTAAGTGCGCTCTTGTTAACCTACACAAACACATACATGCACACATGTGTGTTTTGTTACGGTGGTGATGGTTGTTTTATTGGAGTAAAGTATAACTCCATTTCATTTGAAAATATATTTAAGGAAATAGGAACAAAGGAAATATATATATGTATTTATGTGTGAGTGTGTGTATGGAAATGTATGCAGAATTAAAGTATATATATATATATATATATATATAGATATAGATATAAATATCAGATATTTCTATTGTTCTGTACAATAATTGATGAATATGATGATACATAAGCTCTGCTTAAGAGGTTTGAATAAATTATTCTCTTGTTGAATTTATTCTTATCTCTTTTTGACCATAATTGACAGAAATTATCACCATAAATAGTTAACTTTTTCATCATTTTTACAGCTTTTACAGCCCGTTTTTTGCTGTATGCTTTGCTACAGGGTTAGTTCACCCAAAAATGGCTGCTCAGGCCATCCAAGAATTTGTTTCTTTATTTGCACAGAGAAATGTAGCATTCCATCACCTACTCACCAATGGATGCTCTTCAGTGAATGGGTGCTGTCAGAATGAGAGTCCAAACAGCTGATAAAAACATCACAATAATCCACACCACTCCAGTCCATCAGTTAACATCTTGTGAAGCCAAAAGCTGCGTGTTTGTAAGAAACAAATCCTTGAGATCCTTTTACAAATCATTAAGAAGTTTTAACTTCAAACCGTTGCTTCCGGGCTAAAATATCTATAATAGTCTATAATCCATAATAACGCTTCCCCCAGTGGAAAAGTCCGTCTCCTGTTGTCTCTCACATCAAAATCCAGCCACATATTTGTTTAGAACTATTTTGGACAGCTTTCCCTTGTAAATGGTGCTTGATCTGTGCATATTTCGGACGAGATCACTTTTCTCTGGAGTAAGTAATATTATGGATAGACAACTTGCATTTTAGCCCGAAGCAATGTCTTGATGGATTTGTTTCTTACAAACATGCAGCTTTTGTCTTCTCAAGACGTTAACTGATGGACTGGCGTAATGTAAACTACTTGTGGATGATTGTGATGTTTTTATCAGCTGTTTGGATTCTCATTCTGACGGCACCCATTCACTGCAGAGCATCCATTGCTGAGCAACTGATGGAATGCTACATTTCTCCAAATCTGATGAAGAAACAAACTCATCTACATCTTGGATGGCCTGAGGGTGAGCACATTTTCAGCAAATTTTCATTGTTGGGTGAACTATTCCTTTAATTGCATGCTTGAACATTGTTCCATGGAGGTAACAACCGTGAGGGTGAGTAAATAATGGCATTTTCATTTTAGGATGAACTAGTCCTTACATTCCCACAGGCCACGATTGACTGTGTATGATGCAGTAGAGATCACATGATACTGGCCACTGTCCTGTTGCTGAGGTGATGACCTCTGATAATAAACAATCATCAACATTCATGTTACTATACTAAGTTCAGTGCCTTTAAACACCTCATATGCTTTGATTATAGAAATTGCATTATATTAATAGTGTTTGATTTTGAACTTATGAACCTGCTCTGTGAACAGGCAGTTTTTCGCTCTGAGCTGTGACTTGCAGAGAGCTGAAATAACTCTCACATTCTACAACACACTTAAATTTCACACCTGACAACTCATTTATACTGAGATGAGAGAGAATGTCTGTATGTCTGTGTGTGTGTTTGTGTGAGAGAAAGAGAGGGAGAAGGAAAACACACTTGCATGTACATACATATGCAGCTCCGCAACAGCTGACTGACTGCACACACACCGGAGCAACGTTAGACAGACATGGGAGAGAAGTGAAGGAGAGCAGAACAAGCCAAAGAACGGAAGAAAGAAGCCTTGGAGTGACAGGTCAGTTTGGCTTTTCTATCTGCTATTCAGTTTGACTTAAGTTTCTGAGTAGTTGACAAAAAATGTTTTTATAGATGTTTATATATTTAGGTTTATTTTTATTTTTTTAAACCACTTTTTGCACCCCACTTGCACTAAATGGTTGTGCTGTGACACAATGTCTTTTTTTAAAGTACACTACAAATAGTTAATTTATTCTCAGTTAATATGACACAATCTGCATGCATAAATTAGAAAAACAAATTTTAAAATGGTTTTAGATGCATGTCACTGTTTAACATGTCAACGACCTATATAGTATAAATAGTGTTACCGTGATTTATTGGATAGTGTTGTGTGTAAATCAGTGCAGCTTTACAAACTAAGGAAATTAGCATTTAATAAGTAACTTTGGGACGTGTAGTCATGGCATTTGCACATGCAACTTTGCTATAAAACAACAAATAGCTTTGAATATTTTTTACAGTGTATATTTAGCTCATACAGAAAGCTTGAGCAATAGATCAGCGCTGAAATAGCCTGTGGAAATACTTGCATTATATTTTTGTACTTTACTAAAAACTGATTGGTATTCACAATAGCAAAAATGCTGTATTTTTAAGGCTTTGAGTTTATTTTTGATATTATTTTCTTCTGTATGTGTATACATATTTTGGCTACACTTTATTTTAAGGTGTCCCTGTTGCAGTGTAATACATTTAAGTACTGAGTAATTTTAATTAACTACATATACTTACTATATGGTTAGAGTTAGGATTAGGGTTTGGCTTAGGGTTACTTGCATGTAAAATGTGTTACCCATGTTTTTTTTTTTTCTCCTATGCAATTTGTTTGTATTTGAGATTGTGGCTGTAAATGTTACATTTAATGTTCTGCCCAAAAAAAAAACAACTCCAGATTGATGTTTAAACACTTATGCATGAGTATACATGTGAGTTTGCATTTGAAAACACGATAAGCATCATTGTCAGAAATTAACCAGGACTTTTGGATATATATATATATGTGTGTGTGTGTGTATGCATATAATTTTGGGGGCAAAAATTAAGGCTCTCTAAAATTTCTAAATATTTTATTCTTCTATTTATGGGTTTTGGTTCGGTAGTGGTTTAACTGATTCACTGTAAAAAAATAAACTAAACTAAAAGATACATCTTTGTACCCTATTTACCCATAAAAAGTAAATATTAGGACCTTTAAGATATATATTAATACTTTAGTTTTTGTACCTTCCAGTGCAACCCCAGTTACAGTCCCTTTTTTTCTGAGAGTGTTGAATGTGTTCGACACAATGGACTTTGTGTAAGAACAACATATGTTCTCATAAATAGAAAATCACTTTCGGGGGGCAAATATCGGCCCTCAAAAAATGCATATCTGACTCTGTTATGTATTTTGGACAGAGAGTGTGTGTGTAAGACGACCCACCAGCTCGTGTTTATTTGGAGTCGCTCGGCTGCTGGATGGAATTCTGGGGTGGGGGTGAATTCTATTTCTGATCCCGGATTCCAGTAGCATCACACACAGACACGCCCTTACAGTACGCTCATAAACACGTGTAAATGCAGTGACGTTCATTCATGATTTTAGTTAGTTTGTGTGATTTTGCTTAGTTCCCTTAAGCATTAGCACCATTAGTTTCTAGATTTCTCTCAGTGTTAATCATGTTAAATTGACAGCACATTTCAGAGATGTTTATCATCAGAACTGTCAATATCCAGTTGCAGTCTTGCATGCAATGAGTCCCTAGAGTGATTCACTCGGACAGTTGCATGCTCTGGATTACGGCCAGAAACTCACCCAAGACCGTTTTATCAGCTGGACTTTTTTAAGCAGTGCGAATACATGCATTTAGGCTTAAGTCATGTTATGTGCAAGTCTTTAGCCTGTGCTGTATAGCAGTGACCTCACACATTTACCAGTCTATAGTTTTTTTAATTGCAGTGATTTGTGGACCAGTTTGATAACCACTTGCTCTGCAGACTCGTTAGGTATTTTTATCAAGCAAGCCTCAGGATTTGTTGCTCTTGTCATTTACTATTTTGCATCCTGTAGAGTGTTTTTAGACACTAAACCACGGCAGGTGTAATTCCTCACCATTTTAGTCTTTGTTAACCTTGTGAAAAATAAATGTGTTTAAGATTTTAAGTGCACATTAAATACAATTAAAGTAATCATTTAAAAAAAAAAAAAATGAAATGCAATTTTTATGCAGGTAATGCAATGTTAATGAAGTTAAAGGTCACTTAAGTCTACTTAAAGAGAGTATACTTTCATTAACATGCTTTTAAAAAGTGCACTTTGTAATGACAAAATAAAGTTTTACTTTAAAGTACACTTTACATCATTATATTTAAAAAATTTGTCATGCTTTAAAGAAGTACATTTATTTTAATGTGTTGACTAACATACTGAAGCACAAGTACCTGATTATTGATTATTAATATCACTGATATTACGTTACTAAATTGCAACTTCATAATTACAATACATGTGAATCCATTACATACAAGCTTCAATTACATTAAAATATATTTTAGTTTACCATAAATGCCTGTCAGTACATTCGGCAGTACACTTATGCATATTTCAAACACAATATGTTATGAAATTACATATAAAGATCCACTTATATCCTATTTAAGTGGGTCAAAAAACACTTAAGTTTAACTAACTGTAATACATTTTTACATGCAATTAAGTTTTTGAAAACATTAAATTGGCTTTGCACTCTTTTAAAACATATTATTAAATTATTAAAGTGTGCTTCATTTTTCACAATGGTGTTTATCTGTGTAGTCTCTTTTTTAAGTAACACAAGTAAAATGTTGGCTATTGTTGTATGGCATGAGGCCAAACGAGGAAAGCAGCAGTAGAAAGTAGCTTGTCAGGTGGAGTGTTTTCTTTTTTTAAGAGCATCTGTACTTGTTAGTGCTGTTTGCCAAGTGCAGCATCACTAATACTGTTGCTCATAGTGATTTGAAAAAACGCTTTAAAACGGCAGCATGTAATTCATCCTGCAGTATGTCAAAACCAGAAGATGGAAACATCCGGCCCGGGGAAACGCAAATGTGCAGAAGGTTCAAAAGCTTGTGAAACGCTGCAGCCGAGCGGCCGTCTGTTTGTCATGAAGCCTCTTGGAGGATTGTGGGAACAAATGAGCAAACAAAACCAGGTGCCCCTGAATAAATGTCACCCGACATGTTAAGACGGGTTCAGGGGGTAACAGCGGCTCGAGGCTGGTGCAACAAGCAGAAACTGGGCCGGACTGACAACTTTGGACATCTATTGGCGTTCTGAGAAGCGCACTGCATTTATAGTCCATAACATGGAGCATGCAGATGCCTCTGCACTTACAGTACATGTGATCATGTTTAACTGTCTCTTTTGCAGCCAGCTGCGACCATGGCAGACCCTCCAACAGGCCCTCCTGAGGATATCAACAAAATCAGCTTCTGGATGGTAAGAAAAACGCTCTTCCAAAGCCCAGTGAGCTGCCTTTCTGTCTGCTCCCTACACTGGCAGCATCTCAGCTGAGACGGAACCTCAGAAGTGACTGATTTGGAACACACTGCTGCCAAAAAATAGCGATATAGACTCGATTCACAGGTTTCATAATTCTCAGGATATCCAGATAACAAATTAATAATTAATTACAAATTATACAACTACTGTAAGTATAGGTAACACTTTATATTAAGGTGTCTTTGTTACACATGTACTTACTATTATAATAATTAATTATACATAATTACATGCAAGTAACCCTAAGCCAAACCCTAACCATATAGTAAGTACATGTAGTTAATTAATATTACACAGTACTTAAATGCATAATTACACTGTAACAAAGACACCGTAAAATAAAGTGTAACCTAAGTATATATAGATAATAGAGATGCACAGATACTAGATTTCCGATAGCCGATTATTCAGAATAATATCTGCCAATACCGATACTGATAGTGTAGTTTTCCTAAAGAAAAAAAATCTCTCCCAACTAATGCTGTAAACTATACAGAAAGCAGTCTCATTTGGTACGTAATATATTAGAGGTTGAAATGAACAACACAACTGCACATAAAGTTTCATAAAAATTGGAAGATGCTCACTAGGCATTGAAACAGGTAGTTCATATTCAGTAATAACATTGATCTAACTGCACTGGCGCTGCCAGATGAGAACAAAACTTGAACTAAACCGAGCTGGATAATGACACTAACTTTGCAAAATTAACACTGTTATTGAACTGAATTAAGCATTGAATTTAGCTCAAAGACATGATTGTCTTCTGCAGAGCTGGTTTACAACTGAAATTGAATTAGTTTCACAATTGATGAATTTTACAATAATATTTATTACTGTGAAGCTGCTTTGAAACAATCTGTATTGTATAAAGCACTGTATGAAAAAAATTCAACTCGACTTGGAACCAAGCAAACATACTATACGTAGTTCATAGAAAAATAAAATCAGTTCCCTTCTGTTCTCGTCTCTTAGCCGGGAAATTACATGCGGACAGTACAGAGGACACCAGAGTCGTACCAGGCTTGTAAAGACATCATGGCATGCATGAAGGACCGGGCTCATGTGGAGCGACAGTACGCCCGTCAGCTGACCGAATGGAGCAACAAGTGGAAAGCTATCACTGAGACTCGTGAGTGTCAAAAACCTATCGTCAGCTACATTAAACAACATGGCATTGGGTTTTTATCACTGAGTAGCTCCGCCTACAGTTCAATCTCATTGGTCCAAAATCCTGCTCCACATAGCATTATATTATGGAAGCCTGTTTCCACTGAATCAAAAATTAAAAAGGTAATTGTGACTTTTTATCTCACAATTTTGACTTTTTTTCCCCTCACGAATCTGGCATTTTTGTTTGGAATTGCTAATTAATATTGCTAGACATAAACTCACAATTGCGAGAAAAAGTCAGAATTGAGAGTTCATATCCCACAATTCTGACTTTATAGCTTGCAATTGCGACTTTATACCAGAAAAAAGTCAGAATTGCAAGATGTAAAGTTGCAATTGCGAAAAAAAAATTACACAATTACCTTAATTTTGTACATTTTTATTCAGTGATGGAAACGGGTTTCCATATAACATCCATTGAAAGTTGCATAATATTTGAGCAAACTTCTTTTATCTTATTTTGGATTTTATGTGAGTATTATCTTTGTCAAATAATTTGCACAATTATTATAGGTAAAAAGGCCAAAACCACTTCTCTATTTATCTAAATTTGGTTAGTCCAGAGATTTTGGGTTATTTTGCTTCCTTAACATCTAGTGGAAAAAACATCCGAAATACACAAGTCTTGATTTTATTGTTTAACAGTTTTACAACTATATATATATAATTTTACTGAGGAGTTTGCACATTTCGATTGATTTTGTAAATCATTTTTATTCCTGAAAGCATGATAGTAAAAAATAACGTTTTTTTTTCTTTCTAGTTTTTGACTGCATTTTCTGATTTTTTGGTAAAAAGACAAATGCAAAATTTGCTTTCTGTAGAAATATTTTACTCTAATATGTCATTAAAATGAAACAAGATCTTTGGCTTTTTCTGGCTTTATCTAATGTTCAGATTTATGTTCTGAAAATATATGCAATTTAGTGAATATTTAATTAGACAATGCCTCACTGCGAGATCATTTGTGATTCTGTTATCATCCACCCCTTATTTTTCTCATGTGACTTTTATGCAAAGTTGCTCTTTTACATGCAACTAAAATTTGCTGGCCGCCAAGTTCAGTTGCAGTTGTGCTGAGTGTAATGTAATTGAATAAAAGTGTGTGTAAGTGAGCTGATTTTTGTGTTTGTTTCTCTCAGGGCCGCTGTATGGGTCTCTCTTGCGGGCCTGGCAGTGCTTTTTCTCGTCCACCGAGCGTCTGTCTGCCCTTCACACGTCAGTCTCCCAGTCTCTGGTTTCTGAAGACGAAGAACGCATTCGCTCATGGCAGAAGGAGACGTTCCAGCGGAAAATGTTCTGCGGATTCAGAGAGTCACATGATCTTGCGACGGCTTTCTCTCGCGCTCAGAAGCCCTGGGAGAAGCGATTAAAGAAGGTGATAGTAAGCCGTATGCTGATGGTTAATAGGTGTTAATCAACTGAACTGTTTTCACTCCTGTTGGTTCAAAATCTCATGCAGCATATTCAGGTATAGTATATTCAGGCAAGGTAAAACCACTGGTCAGTTCTGAGATTTTGCTGTAACATGTCTTCTCTCAGACTAAGGGATAGAAAACATCCAAAATACACATTTAAAGGTACAGTAAATGCTTTGTGAGAAACGCTGTTGAAAGTGGATCGGACTGAGCACCAAAACACACTTCTAGCCAATCAGCATTAAGGGGCGTGTCCACTCATGATGGGGGAGGTGCCTGTTGCATAGCATGTTTGTGAATTTGGGGGCGGGGCTAACAAGATGGGGTGTGATCCTTTTAGGTAGGAGTGTGTTTGGTTTTGTCATTTCAAATATCAAGAAATCGCTTACTGCACCTTTAAGTTTTTTTTTATTACGTTATCTGTCTGCATCTGTAGATTTCAATTTACAATGCATATATTTAAAAGATGTTTTCTTAATTTTTTTTAAAGAAATCTTTAAGTATCTATATTTTCGCTTGTAACATTTGATTTGCATCTGATTTATTACATTTTATGTAACATTTTATTTCTAAAAGCATGTGACAAATGTTTTTTTTCTGCCTATTGACAGTATTTTCTGATTTATGGAGTGATACAAAATAGATCCTCCAAAATCCCCACTATAAAAACCTTTGACTCTAATATGGCAACAAAAATTTGAATTTTAGAAATAAGAATTTTGAATCCGGTTTTATACAATGTATCTGATCTGGAAATGTATGCAAATAATTCATGCATATTTAATTAGATAATCATATGTATCTAATTATATGTATATATATACACTGTAAAAGTTGAAGTTGAAAACTTTTTTGAAGTTGATTGTTAAAATATTGAAAAAAAATTCTTTCTACTTCAAAATTTTTTAGTAATTGTGATATTTTCTAGTGGTTTCTCAGTAAAAATAGTTTTCAGATTTTTTCAGTGTATACATAACATAATATATAATATTAGAATAAAAAATACATTGGAAGCTACAATGAGAAACGTAGAGAAAGAAGATGAAATAGTATCTCCAGTGCATAACATTCAGTAGCATAACTAAGAGCTGAATGGAATATGAAAAGCACTACATGACACTAATAATAAATCTTTGTGTCTCCATTAGTTGGGAAAGGCTCATACGGCGTATCATAAGTCATGTCAGAAAGAGCAGAGCGCTCAGGAAAAAGAGAATCAAGCCAAACACAACGCTAAGCTGAGCGAGAGCAAACTGTCCAAGATACAGCAGGCCAGAGAGAAAGCCACACAGGAGCGCAGCAAGGTCAGCCAGCGATCGGACACCACAGACAAACACCACTTACTGCTGCGACTTAATGAATGTGCGTGTGTTTGCAGGCACGTGATCGTTATGAGAAGGCTCTAGAGGAAGCCACTGGCTTCGCACCGCGATACATGGAGGAAATGGAGTCTGTGTTCGACCAATCACAGGAGGAGGAGAGGAAGAGGATCAGCTTCCTGAAGCAGGCCTTCCTGTCCATTCACAGACACCTCGACATTACCAACAATGAGAGGTTTAAAACACAAACAAGCATGTTATTTTAGCTGCCTTATAAAGGTCACATAGACCAGTAAAACAATTGCACTTTATCTGACGTTAAAGCATTCAGCACATTTTGAAGGAAAACAAACAAAATATTTGTTAGCGTTGTTGGTTTCAGCTATTTCAATTGCAGTTGATGATTTGTGTACATACAGTATATAGGGTTGTTATTGTTAAAACCGCAACCAAAAAAAAAAAGAACTAAATAAACGTTATTTTATTATTTTATTAAAAAGTCAACTATAAATAAATTTCTGCCATATAATTTCTTTTTTTTCTTATTTATTGTTATTGTTAAGTTTAACTTGAAGTACTAAAACACCTAAAACTAATAAATAACAATGAATACAAAACAAATAAAAACATACAACATACTACATGTTGTAGACAAAACATTTTAGACCTGAGAATCAAATTATTTATATTTGATTATATTTCAAAATATACCAAAAACAAGTAATATTTCAGTGATCATAAATTAAACCATTCATGATCACTGGGTAAGTGTTTTTTTTTTATGTCAAAATATCTTAGAGCTGAGAATCAAATTATTTATATTTGACATTTAAATTGTATAAATTGGTGTTTTCCATAAACACTGCAGGATATATTTGACAGACAGAATTTTATAAAGTTAAATAATATAAAACACTGATTGTCTCACATTGACTTCATCCACAGCCTTTTCCGTTTTAGTCTCCTTTATAAAGGCAAACAGCGACATGCAAAGATGCAAGTTTGTTGGAAAAACAACTTAAGGAAATCAAGTTTGTAGTATTATAGCTGCAGTGATGTTTCCTGTCATGTGTTTTTATGTGTATTGTGTGTGTTTCAGTATTAAAGCAGTGTACAGTGAACTGCATCACACAATCATGTCCATCAGTGAGCCCGATGATCTCCGCTGGTGGAAGAACAACCATGGGCCGGGCATGCCAACAGACTGGCCCAAACTAGAGGTGTGTGTCATCACATGCATTCAGATATTATGAGCAGAACTATTCTTATTATCTGTCCTGATTTATTTTTGTGCCATGAACAGTTGTAATGTAGTGTTGCATGACTCTCTGAGCTTTAAATGAACTACACAACCCATTTGATTATATTTTCTTACTGCTATTTATTTCCTTTGCATTTTAATATTGTAATCTCATCTCTGTGTGTGTGTGTTTGTGTTTGTTTGTGTGTGTGTGTGTGTGAGTGAGTTTGAGTGTGTGTGTGTGTGTGTGTTTGTGTCTGTGTTTGTGTGTGTGTGTGTTTGAGTTTGTGTGTGTGTGTGTGTGAGTGAGTTTGAGTGTGTGTGTGTGTGTGTGTTTGTGTGTTTGTGTGCGTGTGTGTGTGTTTGTGTGTGTTTGAGTTTGTGTGTGTGTTTGTGTTTGTGTTTGTGTTTGTGTGTGTTTGAGTTTGTGTGTGTGTGTGTGTGTTTTTGTGTGTGTGTGTGTGTGTGTGTTTGGCAGGAATGGAACCCGCCAATTAAAAAGCAGAAACCAGGAAAGAAACCAAAAATACACAGAGGAACTGAGGAGAAAGTGTAAGCTCATCAAACATACACAAATATGCAATAGTGTCTACATGTGTATATTTAACCTCACAATTTTCAACTATGAAGACTAAGAGACACCTATAGGAAGAATCTGAATTTTGAAATTATCTTTTTATCTTTAAACGTTTTTTTGAACTATTTCCATTTATTTTGCTTCCATAACTTGTCTTCTTCCAGACTAGTAAAAAGAAAACATCCAAAATATATAAATATAAAAAAAAAAAAAATTATTAGATTTTTTCTGTTTGCGCCTATAGATTCCAATTAAAATCCATACTGTATATTTAAAGGCCTATTCATAAAATGAGTCAGAAATCTCCACTTCAACAAATGTTAGTTTTATTCCTCTTTATATTCTGAATGTTTTGACAGAGTTTTGTTCATTCCTGGTTTATATAACATTTTTTTCCTAAAAACAGGATGCAAATTCATTTGTTTCTGGCTGTTGATAGTAATTTCCAAGTTATGGAGGGATAAAAACAAATTTCCTGAATCCCTCTGTAAAAAAACAAAACTAATTTTTAGCCTGGCTTAATCCCATGTTTAGATTCTTGTTCTGAAAATGCATGCAAGTTTGTGCATATTTAGTTTGTGTCCATATTTAAACATTACATTTCATAAAACATGTAATACAAATTAATTGTCTTAATGTACGTGATTAATCAACTGGCAAAGTGTACATATTAGTTAAATGCCTGTCCTATTCACCTGTAATGTTCTGCCTTAACTGAGAAATTTTGCACGCAAAGTGCTCTATTAAAATGTCAAAGGTAATATTAATTAAATCAAGTTAATTAGAAAAGAATTAGAACTAATCAGATTAGGAACTGAAATGTGTAAGTATTGAGGTGCGAGTCTCTTTGGGTTTGTTCTCGGCTGAGCTGATTGAGGCTGGATGAGGACTGATTGTGAGCTGCAGTCACTGAGGTGAATTGTGTCATTTGTCCCGTCTGTGTAGCGCGTGATGCAGACCTTCTTTTCCTCTCTGATGAATGACCTGGAGGTGATTTCATCTGGACTAGTCAGTTTAATCAGCCTTGAAGAGATTTTTTTGTACAAAATGCATTAAAAATGCAAAATTACAATATTTTTTTCTGGCATGATATCGGGATGGCGGCACTGAATTAAACATGAGGTCATGTGACAACAATGTAGTGCACTACTATTTAAAATGCTTATTGCATAATGCATGCTTATTTTAAAAATAGTAGGCAATATTCAGTGCATGTTGGCACAGTATGCAGTCTGTGAATATTGCATTATTTATTTTTTTATTTTAATTTGTCTTTGATATTTGACAACACTTTACAATAAGCTCTCATTAGTTGCGGTTATAAAGTTGTTACAGTGTGTATTAATCTTTGTTAGCATTATATCAAAATGTAGTCCATATTAGCTCAGGTCCATTAAAAAATATTAACATATACAACTTATATTAATATACAAAAACGATTATATTATATTATATTATATATACATTGTTTTGTCTGTGAAATAATCCACTCTTATTTTTGGACTGACAAAAATTCTGATCACAGACTTCAGATTTACCCACCCCTAATTTTCATGCAGAAAAAAAAAAAGTGAAGTAACTAACTAACTAAATTAAAAAAAAAATAAAAAGGAAAAGCATCTTTACATACAGTGTGTGTGTGTGTGTGTGTATATATATATATATAATAAACAATAAAAATGACAAAATTAAATTTAAAAACAAATTAAAATTATAATGAAAATAAAAAAGAGCATTCAAAATATTAATAAATACTAATATGTGACCCTGGAGCACAAAAGCAGTCTTAAGTCGCTGGGGTATATTTGTAGCAATAGCCAACAATACATTGTATAGGTCAAAATTATTGATTTTTCTTTTATGCCAAAAATCATTAGGATATTAAGTAAAGATCATGTTCCATGAAGATATTTTGTAAATTTTCTAAATATATCAAAACTTATACTTTGAGATGATGTATACATCTCAATTTCAAAAAAATTGACCCTTATGACTGGTTTTGTGCTCCAGGGTGACATATTATATAAATAATACTAAAATAGAGCTTGTTTGTGAATGCATCAGGATTTGAGCAGAAGATTTGTCTCGCAGGGTCATGATCGGAGGAGTGCGTGTTCGAGCGATGTACAACTACACCGGAGAGGAGCCTGATGAACTCTCGTTCAAAGCAGGTGATCATGTGGAGCTTCTGCTGTTAAACTGTAACTCTGAGTGTGGAGCTGTGGAGGTAACAGGTGCGGTCTGTCTCGCAGGTGAAGAGTTCCTCAAGGTGGAGGAAGAGGACGATCAGGGCTGGTGCTGGGGCGTGAAGGAGGGCGGAGTCCAGGGATTTTATCCAGCCAATTACGTGCTGCCTGTCAAATGATGTCATCAATCATCGCTGAGGCACAACAATGTCTATTCACAGTTACGGAAAACATACAGTGGCCATCAAAAATGAAATAAATGTGAATAGTAATGCGTTACTTTACTAGTTACTTGAAAAAAGTAATCTGATTACGTAACTCGCGTTACTTGTAATGCGTTACCCCCAACACTGGTCATCACATTAGAAATCGCTAAGAGCTAACTTGTTCACTTTTCTTTGACTTTTTCAACAATATCTATAGTTTTATCATTTAAAAACAGCTTTTTTTTTTGCTTGAAACACTTGTTCGTGTTTCATTTCTGTGAGTTTCATTTAAGTGTGAGTTTCATTTTCATCTAATGCAGTGACATTCAGCTGTTTTAAGTGTCCAAATACTTTCGGTCCACCATATCTTTAGTAAAAACAGCTACAACCAGTGTTTCTACAGACCAAAATGAAAATAAAACATTAACGCTCTTTCACAGATCAAACCCTTACCTCTTCATTTAATAGTGTAGGATGTCATTCATTTTAATTAACACATTTTTTTCCCTCCTATGCTTTTGGAAAACTTCCAAGAAAGCCAAAGACCAGCAAATGATTCAAGCAGAGTCAAGAAACGCATTCTTTGTAATTTATATATTGCTTAATGAGGGGTTGTAGAAAAACCAGTAGGAGCTTGTTAGAAAGATTACGGGGCACTGGAGAAACAGCCTCCATTATCATCAGATCCAAATCCATATTATATTTCACCTGGACTGAATGAAACTATAAATAACCTTTCTGTGCACTGACCACTTGATTATCAGCTCTGACACACAACACTGCAACATCCAGGACCGAAGCGGCAAGGGAGGAATTTTAACAGGTATCCGGATAAACAACAAGGAACAGGTGCGTAACTATGGCAACCAGTCATTAATCCTGGAATGACAGGGACCTCTGGTGGTGGATCCGAAATCACATCTCAATCTGTTTTAATGCTGTTTTCCAGTCAAGAGAGAAGACTCCGAGCTTGTTTGTTTTACTGTATGCATGACATATTTTTTTTTGTTGAATATTTTGTGCATTTGAAATATTATAAATGCAGTTCAGTTACACTAACATTTAAAGGCTTGGGGTCATTACATTTTTCTTTTTTGAGAAAAAATTGTCTTAAAGGGATAGTTCGCCCAAAAATTTATTTTTGGGTGAACTATCCCTTTAAGTGTCTTAAACAGTAATATTCTGAAATATTATTACACTTCAAAATAACTTTTGTATTTGAATATATTCATTACATCAAGCATCATTACTCCAGTCTTCAGTGTCACATGATCTTCAGAAATCATTCCAGAAATCTTTAGAAACATTATAAATGTCTTTACTCTCACTTTTAGTCAATTTAATGCATCCTTGCTGAATAAAAGTATTAATTTCTTCCAAAATAATTTTGAATATTAAAAGACTTTTAAATATTAGTGTTTAGAAATGTTAATTCATGAAGATGCTAATTTACTTATACTTTTTACTTGTGTATAAATAAAGTATAAAATCTGTAAGCACTAACTTTTAAAAAATCCACAATTCTGTAGCATCATTAGTTTACTAACAGACTGCTTTTAATTGCAAATGTTGTGTAGCAGCATAAAGTCCGAAGTTACTGAGGCCCACCAAACACAACTTTAAACTGGCTAATATTTTGTCTGCACTCATGTACTTGTTTCGATTATGTTTCTGGTCTTATATTACAGTGTAAAAGTTCATCTGACGGGTAATGGTAAAGTTATTAAACAGGTTTTCGATTGGATGAGCATTAGCATCTAGCTAAAATCATATCTGACAATTATAACGGTTACGTTAAATTTCTTTGGAACTATTTGAAACAGAAATAAACTTTTAACTTTCGACATACTATGATTTAGGATACTTTCTAATCTTGCACTTTGGACATGAAGCGTGAACCCTTACGAAAATTAACCATGGTTTTATTATAGTAAAATGTTTTTGGCGCATTGATTACAATACAATGGTGGTTAATTTGTGGTTGCCATGGTAACCATGTTTTTTTTTATTTATAGTAAAACCATGGTTAATTTTCATAAGGGAACGAACAAACTGGTTTGTATTCAGTTCTGATATCATTTTTCACAACAATAATTTGTGCAAAAATGTTTCGTGCAGAACAAGTTCTTGAGATTATAATGGTTGATAATATCAGTGTCAAGCTAAGCTAACATATCCATATGTAGCAGGCCATCGCGTCAGTAAATCTTGCACTTTGGACATGAAGCGTGAACCCTTACGAAAATTAACCATGGTTTTATTATAGTAAAATGTTTTTGGCGCATTGATTACAATACAATGGTGGTTAATTTGTGGTTGCCATGGTAACCATGTTTTTTTTTATTTATAGTAAAACCATGGTTAATTTTCATAAGGGAACGAACAAACTGGTTTGTATTCAGTTCTGATATCATTTTTCACAACAATAATTTGTGCAAAAATGTTTCGTGCAGTACAAGTTCTTGAGATTATAATGGTTGATAATATCAGTGTCAAGCTAAGCTAACATGTCCATATGTAGCAGGCCATCGCGTCAGTATTAGTAACAGAAGCACATCGCGTTTCGCTGAAGCAGACACAGAGAACTCATTCACAACACACAAACACAGTCCTCCACATAAACGCGCACACATACATACACACACACACGAGAATCCACATCAACAGCCTCGGCGAGAAGAAAACGCACACAATAGGCCTCACGATATTGACGCACAAATGCATTGAGGATCACATCCGCGCGCCTGTGACGTTGAAAACAGAAAGCCACGCACGACAGCGTTTAAGACGTCAACAAAACGGATGACACAGCTCAAGTTTGGCCTTAAACGTGAGGGAGTGATATAGACAGCGCGAAATGGGGGAGTCGTTTATTGTTTGTTTGTTTGTTTATATTTGTGTGCGCGAGTCTGTGCGTGTTGTACGGAACGAGTGAGGTGAGGGAAGGAAGAATATCCACTGCACCACTGTGTGACTGGATTCTTAATGGGAGGGGGATGGAGAGCGAGAGAGAGGTAGATGGCTTATCATTAAGTCATAATACATACTGGAGGACACAAGTGTGTGGGACGCAGACAGAGTTCAACACAGAACCAGAGGAGAGATCAAACAGGGCCGCTAATATGAACTAACTAGGCCTACCACAAGCATGTTCAACATGCAGGCCAAGCACCATTACGACAGCTAGACGGCCTGTTTATTCATGTATTGCTAATATACTGAGAGAATCAGCATTACTAGCGGTCATCAACCTTTACTAGGGACCGCAAAGATACCACCACCACCACCAAAAAAAAAAAAAAAAGCTGGTGCATTTTAAAAGAAATTGGTGCTTGAAACCGAGCTAAGCATCCGCTTAAACGTATTTGTGCATATTTTTAGGCCTGCCTATGTGAATTCAGATGATGCATTTTGCATTCCTGGCTTGCCTGGTAATGTTTTAAAAATAACTTTAATTAATAACTTGAACATATATCATGCCCTCTAAAGATATAGTTCACCCAAAAATTTAAATTAGCTGAAAATGTGCACACCCTCAGGCCATCCAAGATGTAGATGAGTTTGTTTCTTCATCAGATTTGGAGAAATGTAGCATTCCATCACTGGCTCACCAATGGATGCTCTGCAGTGAATGGGTGCCGTCAGAATGAGAGTCCAAAGAGCTGATAAAAACATCACAAGTAATCCACACCACTCCAGTCCATCAGTTAACATCTGGAGAAGACAAAAGCTGCGTGTTTGTAAGAGATAAATCCATCAGTATGGTGTTTTAACTTTAAACCATCTCTTCTGGCTAAAATATGGATCTGTAATCCAATAATAACACTTCAACCATTAAAGGGGTCATATGATGCGATTTCCTGATGAAGAAACAAACTCACCTACATCTTGGGTGGCCTGACTATTCATGTGACATGTTTAGAAATATATAAGATATGTTTATATATATTTTATGTCTGCCCACAGGCAGGACCTTCACGGAGCGCTGATTGAAAACCCTAGAGCTGAACTTTGAACAAACAACTTAAATGACTTACTGCATCATGGTTGTCATCTCTGGCAAACATTTAGTGTTAGTTGTCTATTATAAACACATAGATATCAACATCTAATGAGGACAATTAACAAATATAAATGGTGTTTATATGTAGCTCAAGTTACAAAACTAGCAATTTAAACATCATTTAGATAAGTGCTTTTCAAAGGGTGGCTCATTATGGGGACTAATTTTTTGGATGAAATTAATTTGTATTTCATGTCAAAATGCTGTTACTTACTAAAGACATTTTGTGAACTAAATATTCATCCCATGAGAGCGATATTTATTTTGCCCTGTCTGAATCACAAAGTTAATTTGGTCCACAAAATTAAATGGTGGGGTCACACTTGACATGCTATTAATAGTTTGTGCGTCTGTTTTAACAAACAGTACAGCATGGTGCTAGCAACATCAAGGTTATGGGTTCGATTCCCAGGGAATGCATGAAAAACAACGTATGCTTTGAAATGCAATGTAAGTCGCTTTAGATGGAAGCATCTTCCAATTGCATAAATGTTATGCAAAATACTGTATAATAGGGTCGTGGACAGTGATGTAAAAACAATGCTAAATGAATAATAAAATGGTAATAAATACGTAATCATTCATACATTCAAACACTGTTTTTGGTGCTGATATTAGCTGATATTATGTAGAATCAACCCAGTTTCACTGGAAAATTGAACTGTTTTAGGAGTCGGCAATTTCATATGAATTTGTACGGGTTTTAGGAAAAAATTCTGCATGAAGGTCTACTCCTAAACATATACTATAAGATACATGAAATTGTAAGTCAGATGACATTAAATACAGGTTCACCTGGATTTTTAATCAGCATATTTTTGCTTATGCACTTCAAGGTAATACTAACAAATTTCAATGTTTGATTATTTACTTAAGATGAGGTAATGATGTAATGTCCAGGG